GGGAATCAAATTCATGCGGAAGTGGCTTAAGCTTCTTTGTGCTGTGCTTTAACCTGCTGTGCCTCCAGGGAGGGCCCAACAAAGAAAACTTTTAATGTCAAAAAAATATTAACAGGATTACTGTTCCCAGAAAGAGAAGAAAGGATAAGTTTTCTAATAAAACATCAAAAATTACCCATCCCTTCCTGCATATATCTAGACTTTAAATCTCTACAGACTCTGTATCTCTCCCCAGTATGCTTTTTATTCCTACTGCTCTGTGAATATATTCTTCTCCGCTTCCTCTCTTCATACCCTGCCCATTCACACCCCCTCTTAGATGTGGCTCTATATTGTCCCGAACTCCTTCCTGATCCACTTTCACTCTCAATGGAGTGGCTATCATCTTTTCCTTCTCTATTTTCCCAATGTATGCCATTGCATTCATTAGATTTTTGCTTTACTTTTCATTTCCTGGGTCCTCATGATATTCTTTCTGAACACACAGACAGAACATCATTTGAAATTGACCTTTTAACTTCCTCATCTATGTGTCATAGAAGCACCTACCACAACATTTTGTACAACAGTAACTTTTTGAATTAAATAGGATTCCCCAAACTTTATTGTTTCCAACATTTGGGCTTTATACTGCCTTTTAGAATTACAATTGTACAACACAGCTTTGGTCTACACAAGCCTACTTATATGTGGATTTTTTCTCTACCTTTGTTTCCATATTTATAATTTCATGCAATAGCAAGATATAAGTTCAATGAATCTACAGATGTGGAACTGGTAATACAGAGGGCAGACTAATAGAAGGGACTTGAGCATTGACACATTTGGGTGTCCTCACAAGTTCTGAAACCAGTAACTCACGAATACCAAGGGAGGACTCTAGTTTAAGTGTTTTGGGATAATACTCAGATACTCAATTGGGGTGGGGAAAGTTGGTAACCATGTTGATCAGGGGTCAACTGTACAGTGTTATTCAACTGTTGCCCCACATATAATTACTGTAATTTTTATAATCTTTAATTATATGATGAGAAAATAATCTCTAGCATGTTATTTTTTTTTAACTGATGAACTGTTACCATTTTGTTATTCAATTTAAGCTTTAAAACTTATATTTATTTTTTATACACTTTGGGATACATGTAAGTATGGATGTAACAGCTACAGAGTATTACACATACTAAGTTTTATGATTAATTCATTATCTTATTCAAAGAAAACCTTCATGGATGTTGAAACCATTTCACTCTCTACTCCTGCTCCAGAAATACAACTCTCATGGAGTTGATGTATATATATTCCAACCATGTTTTTATGCTTTTATCGCACATGTACTATACATAACTCACACAAAGCCCTTTTATAATTTAAGGATTTTAAAAAAGATTTATTTATTTATGCATACAAGAACTGAGGTATAAGCCAGAGGTACAGGGGGGTGAGAGAATTCACCAGAGACAGAGTGGGGAGCAGAACAGGCAGATCAACCCAAATACACTGCTGAGGGGAGCAGCAGGCAAGACAAGAGAAGTCTGCTGGGCCGTGTGGGTCTCTGGCTGACTGGAGAGAACTCATGCTGCACTGGCTGGTGATAGGCTGACAGTACCATCTCTTTAACTCCTGCATTATGGGGAAGTCCCCTTTGTAATTTTAAAAGGTATGCAAGTGATAGAAAACTATTTGCAATTTGCTTTTTTTCACTCAACATCTTTTCAAGATTCTTGTTGGCATGTCTATTATATTTCACTTTAAGTAAGAAATGTTATCTCACTGTATGACCCCACCTCTTAATCTTTACCATAATCCTGTGAGATAGGTATTGTCAATCTCATTTTATAAATGAAGAACTGAAGTACAAAGGGATTGAGTAACTTTGAGTTCACACAGTTCTTAGCAGATGGAATGATAACTCCTCTTAATCACATGTTCTTCCCACTACAGCTTCCCACTACTGAACACCAGCTATGGACCAGGCACTATTTTAGATCCTGGGTATCTATGCAGTGAACAAAACAGACAGAATCGTGCTCTTAAAGAGTTTATATTCTAATTGTAGGAGACAGTCAATAAAGTAGCATGTAATAATATTTTGTTCTAAGTGCTATGAAGACTCTTTAGAAGAATGATGAGAAAAAACAGTGTAATATAACAATGCTGATCTATATGAAGCCCTGGTGACATTTCAGTATGCTTCCAAAAGGCAAAGTAGGTATTCAAGGTCAAGGCTGAGGACACAGCATATGCAAAACCCCTTAGAGGTAGGAGCATATTTGGCTGTCATTTCACAATTTGCTATTTTTTAGATTCTTTATCAACGACCCTCATGTGCCGAGAGTAAATGTAAGCAGAATGCATGGGCCTCATTAAATTTTGACAAGTCAACAATTTCTTACAGTGGCCATCTTTCTAATAAACACATTGGGTTGAAATAGAAAAATATTTACTACCAGAATCTATTTACTTTCGAACTTACATCACAGATAGTCGATGCCCATAATGATGACTTATCCATTCACAGCAGGGCTGCGGATTTGCTGAGACTTTAAAATACAAATCAATCTTCTTTTTAATATCAGAGGTTGGGAGAATCGTCAAGTAAACGGAAGAGAGACTTCAAGTTGACAAACTCCTGAAATTGAGAGGCCAGGAGGAGCCCACCTTTTTCTAGGCTGCTCTCAGAACGGTTGCCAAGAGGGCGGCAGGAACCTGAGGGCATTACCTGTGGGGAAAGCGTGGGCTCTAGTCTGACCTTTACTAGCTAAATTGTTTCAGTGGAGACGCGAGGGGTCTGAGCGGGCGCCCGCCAAGTCCCTCCCCTCCCCAGATCAGCGGTGTCGCTCAGTCGAGTCTCCGGGTGAGGGAATAATAACTGGCTACGCTAGAACCAAAACCCACAGCAGATCGCGACCTCAGGTATTCCGGACTCAGCCGGAACCCGACCTGGGAAATTTGACCGCCGCGCTCCCGGCTTGCTCGCCCCGCCCCTTCCCGCCTCCAGCCTCCCCCGGGTCCTGGGGAGAAAAGAAGTCGCAGCCGGCGAACGCCACCCTCAGCGTCTTCTGGGAGGAGTTTTGGGCCTTGCGAGGCCCCGTCCGGCGCCGCGCTTTCCCGTCAGGCGGGAGCGGAGAGACTCCGGGAAGCTGCTTCTGCATGGTTGATGAGTGCTGCGCTGCCTCAGCATGGGCGAGCACGGCCTCGAGCTGGCGTCTATGATTCCCGCCCTGCGGGAGCTGGGCAGGTAGGACTAAGTCTGGCGGTCCTGGGCCCTAAGACCCCTCGGCCAGGGCGGCCGGCTTCTCACGCGCTTTCCCCTCCCCTGCCGCGTGAGTTCCGGCTGCTATCCCCTCACCTCCGCCGCGGCTCTTCTGGAGATGTTCGGCGCCACAGTTGAATGTTGCTTACTCAGAAAGGAGGTTAAAAAGGTGCCCGTGGAAGAACTGGGTTTTTGTCTCATGTTTTGACCCAGAACTCCCCTTGGAAGAAACACCACTGGTGTAGATTTTTTCAAGGAGAGCCAATTGCTAGAAAGGCAGTTGGTGTCTTCCCTTGAAATCACAGGCCCTTAGGAAAATGTCCTCTCAGATTGCTCAGCCTGATCCTGGCCCGTTGTTCTCATCAGAAAGACTATATATCACCTCTCAGGTCCCCAACATTTAAATGTGCACAGAATGTTGCCCTGAATTGAAGATAGTTTAATATTATTTTGTTTGCAAGTGCTTCTCTTCTTTAAGACTAAAATCACGTACTTAACCAGTATGTTGAGGAGGGGGTTGATAACTGCTATTACTCTTCAACACAGTTACAGCCATTCCTTTCATTTCACTCATTTGTAGCTATTCTAATCGAAAAATAGGAAAACGGAGCCATAGAGAATTATCTAGTAGTATTAATTTTGATTACTTTATTATTATTGCAGTTTTGTTCAAAGCTTTTCCACGAAGCCCAAAGGTTAGAAGTCTGTGGGTGGGGAACATGTAGAGAGGATGGGTTGGAGTGTAGGGTTGTTGCCTCCCCGCCCCCTCCCCACTGTGAACCAAAAGTAAGTCAAAACTGACGTTTAACACATGGTATATTTATTTCCCTTTCTTCTTGCAGTGCTGTTATACTCATCAGTTGTTGGCCATACAAAAACATACAATCTTTCTAAGTTACGTAAATAAGGAATGAACTAAGGGACCATGCTTGACTTAATTGAATCATCCTAATTGTGTTTGTGTGAATTTTTCACTTGTCACGTATGTTTCAAGTATGCTTTCTGTTAAAACTTTGTAAAGTACTATCTACTTTCCAAAAGATGGGAATAAAAATGCTTATACGGAATTGAAGTACAGATTTCATCTCTGAGGTCTAATTGTGAAGCTCACTATGTTTTCCCACCTAGCTTTAATGTGGGATTAGCTGACTAATACTTCTCTCCCGTCTTGAGTCTTCCTCTGAGCTTACTTAATGAAAAATAATAGTATCTTGGATTTATATAGTCTTTTTTTTTTCAGCAGCAAAGTGTGTGTTGCCTTTCCTTTAATTCATTTGCAGCTATCTTAAGCAAAAGAATAGAAAAACTGACCAAAAGAGAATTATATAGTAGAAGTTTTTAATTTTCATTACTTTATTCTATTGCAGTTGCTTTGTGCAAGGCTTTTAAAAGTCTTACAGACTCTCCATGGTATTGTTACCTCTATTTATATTAAGAAACAGAGTCGCAGAAATTAAGGACCAATGTCACAGATAGCCATTTTCAGACATCGGTTTCAGATTCAAACTGTCCATACCTTTTCTACTAATTAGCTATAGCAATTAGAATTCTGGGAAAAGTGAGATGGAATTGTTCTTATGTGTGTACTGTTTTTTTTTTTTCCTTGTCCCTTAGGGATAACTTTTACTGTTAACAATCTTTTCTCTTTCTGGTCTTTCTGGGTAATTCCATCCATCCTTCTGCCTTCAGGTATCTTTTTTAACTCCTCACTTTCATTGAGGTAGGGATATCTCAGTAAATGATAACATGTTTGCTGATTTTTCCAAACTAGAAATCTAAGAGTCAGTTTTTCATGTGCTTTTGGAAGACACCTTACCGCTGTGCCACCAACACTCACTTCTTCATGTGCTTTTGGACAGTGTTCTTAATCCTTTTTTTTTTGGGCTTTTATGTTTTATTTTTACCAATTTCTGATTGAGGTAATATTGGGATACCTCCATCAGGTATTAGCACCATAGTGCACCCACCACCACCTACTCACCCATATTCCATCACCGAGAACCCTTTTAATTTTACCCCTCTGCCATCTCTTCCTCCTTGTCTTTATAAGTTTCAGTTTAATTACTTTATATTTCACATATTAGTGACACCATTAGTTATATTTCTCCTTCTCACTTATTTCTCTTAGTGTTATTCCTACCAGCTCCATCCATGTTGCCACCGATGGTATGAGTTTATCATTCTTTGACTGTTGAGTAGTATTTCATTGTGTATGTATACCACATCTTTTTTTTTTAATTTATGTGTATATATAGTTTACATTATTGTTCACTTGTGTACAATGTATGCTTGTATGCTTTCTTCTTTTAAGTGTATTCCCTGTAAAATTCCCACCATCAGTTTCACTCATAAACCATCACCATCCTGACTGTGCTCTTCTCCTCCCCATTCTCATCCCTCTCCCGCACCCTCCATTGCAGAGTATCTCTGATTTATGGTTGCCTGCTAATTTTTAAAAAATTATTATCATTGTTAATATATTTTTTCCCGATCTCTATAAGTGAAACCATTCAGTACTTTTTTTTTTCCTTCTAGCTTCTTTCACTGAGCAGCTCTGTCCATGTTGCTGCAAATGGCATGAGTTTACCTTTTTGATTGCTGAATAGTATTCCATTGTATATACTTACCACATCTTCTTGATCCAGTTGTCTGCTTTTGGGGGATTTGGGTTGTTTCCAAATCTTACCTATTGTAAATAGTGCTGTAGTAAGCATAGGGATGCAGGTATTCTTTTGAATTAGTGTTTTTGTGTCCTTTGTGCAGATTCCTAGGAGTAGAATTGTAAGGTCATATGGTAGTTTAAGGAACCTCCACACAGCTGTCCATAGTGGTTGGACCAGTTTGTGTTCCCAGCAGCAGTGTTACTTTTTCTACACATCCTCACCAGCATTTGTTGTTGCTTTTTTTTTTTTTTTTAATGTGTACCATTCTCACTGGTGTCAGATGCCACATTTTCTTGATCTACTTATCTATTCAGGAGCATTGAGGGTTTTTTTTTGTAATTTAGTTACATGAAATAGTACTGCGGTAAGCATGAGGAGTGCAGTTTTCTTTGGAATTCAGAGTTTTAAAATTTTTTTTGCAGAGATGTCTAAATGGAGGTATTGGGTAGAATGGAAGATCCATTTTTACTTTTTTGAGACAGCACCATACTGCTTTACAAAAGGGCTGGTGGCCATCTTTCTATCTTTGCTGTCTTCCTAAGTTTTTGTAAATGCCATCTAACAGCCTAGGAGTTACCCTTCACTCTTTCCCTTATCCTTTAATAATCTATCAGCAAATTCTGTCAATCCTACTTTTTAAGATTTATTTATATATGCATACAGAATTGGGGTACAGGCCAGAGGTTCAGAGGAGGTGAGAGGATTCACCAGAGACAGTGGGGAGCAGAACAGTGTACTGAAATAAACTGCTGAGGGGAGCAGGTCAGGAGAGGTCTGCTGCGCTATGTGGATCATCTCTCTTGCTGGGGATCCAACTCATGCTGAAGTGGCTGCAGCAAGCTTTGAGCTCCGCAGTGCTGCACTTTATCCTGCTGCACTTTAACCTGTTGCATCATCGGGGAGAGCTCTGTAATTTTTTAATCTAGACTATTACAGTAGTTTTGCAATTTATCTCCATTTTTACCCATTTACAATGGATTTTCTGTTCACAAGTGTACATCATATGTAGACTATCTAATATTACTCTTCTACTCAGAATCTTCTTGTCACTTTCTGGCACACTTAGTATAAAATCCAAACTCTACCAAAACCTCTAAGGTCCCTTATAATCTGGCCTCTGCCTCCTTCTGACCTAATGGCCTTATGTCCCTTCCTCCTTCACTCTGCTTCAGTAACTGCCCTTGTTTCTCACATACACCAAAGGCACCCCTGTCTTCAATCTTTGTACTTGCTGTACTATCTGAACACAGGCTCATTCCATTCAGATGTCACTTTGGAGAGGTTTCTGATCTTCCTGTTTAAAATTACTTTGTATTCATAAGGTGTTTCAGGTAGTGATACTTGCTATTAAAATATTAAACGAGAGAATAGAAGGGGACATGAGAGTCTGGGACCAGCAGCAGTATAGCTACTATAAGAGATTTGGATGGTGAGAAGAAGCCAGTCAAGTAAAATTGCGGGTAAGAATCTGGAATCAAATGGGAAATGCAAAATTCTCTAGACGGGAACCTAAGCAGAAAAAAGGAGCGAAGACTGAGATGGTATTAGTTAAAAATGGAAAAGGTGCCAGATCTTTAACATCTTAAAGACCAGAATAAGAAATTAGTTTTTAAGTACAATAAATTGCAGTGTTTAAAATAGGAAAATAATGTAATTGAATTCATGGTTTATAAACATGTTCAACCGTTGTTGCTCCACCTTCCCCCTTTACAGAGCTGTTTGCGTAAGCTTCTGTAGTAGCCTATTTTTTTGTTCCTGGCCCTTGTGCATGCTATTTGCTCTACTTGGCTCCCCTTTCCTTTTTTTTTTTTTACATGTTTAACCACACAGGGACTCCTATCACCTCCTCCAGAAACCCTTGATTGATAGGCCCTGCTCAAGGTTGAGTATGACTTGTGTGTTCTACCTGGACTCTGTTTACTCTTAAGCATGTTGCGTTAAATTCATCTGTTCATTTATTTGTCATCTCATATAAGTTCTTTTGGGGCAGACACCTGGGAGGCTTTCTGGCATTTGTTGCTTATCCCAGAGGAAGTACTCAAATATTTACAAAATGTATCCCAGCTACATGTGTTACTTAAATTTCGTTCAAATATTACAGTATACTTTTGAAAAGCTCATCCCTTGTAGATTGCAAGGTAAGAAATGCAAACTCTCCCAAAAGTTTCTTTATTCTAATAGTATATCTGATGAATGTTAGTTCACTTTTTTAAAAGGTGAATTTTTTAAAATTATACAGATATTACATGAGTATATTACCTTTATACAAAATTAAGCTCTGTAGGAAACCGATCACCACCCACAATTCTGGTATCACTCCCCACACACCTCACTTACATTTTAAAGTGACATTTGCCAAATTTATTCTTGGTTTATGATAAAATCTGCTGTCTAAACAATTTATTTAACCTTTTAATTTTAGACTTAAATGTTTTATTACATTTAAATCTGTGATGTTCTATGAGCGGTAGCTAATAGCCAAATGTGGCCATCGAGCATTTCACAAGAGCTAATCTTAAGTTGAGATATGCTGTAAATTAAAGATACACACTGGGTTTCAAAAACTTAGTACCTACCCTCTCCCAAAATAGTATGTAAAAGATCTCTGATAATTTTTATATTGAAAACATGCACAAATCTTATTTTGGGTATATTGTTATTATTAAAAAGGTTACGTTTTACATCCTCAATGTGACTACTAAAAAATTTAAATTATGCACATGTCTTATGTTGTATTTCTGTTGACCACTGCTAGTTTAAATAAGCTTTATAGCACAAGTTTTTTAAGTAGCTAAGTTTTTCTGTCAAGCAGGAATACTTCTAGGGGCCACAGAATTAAAATATTTTTCTTTCCTATAGGAGCTACTAGTCTAGTGGTGCTGCATAGTACACATGGAAAAACTAAAATATTGTGTCCCAGCTATAGGAATTTATGGTGTCATGTCAGAAAACAAACATACTTCACAGATCCAGAGGTTATATGTTAAGGATTAAGTAGCACAAGATTCAGGAAGAGCCATTCATTCATTTAAAAAAATCTTTTTTCACAGTCTACTATTACCGGGACCAATTCCTTCCTGGTGTGTGTTAGCTGTAAACCCTGTGGAACTTGAATAGTCAACTAGAATTGGACTTTGTGGTTAAATAACCAGGAAAACAATCTCATTTTTTTTCTTTTTATATTGTTTTCAGATAAACAGAAAATTATATGTACATGTTACAGGTTTTTAAAAAGATTTACTTATTTATTTATGCATACAGAACCTGGGTACAGGCCAGAGGCACAAGGGTGGTGAGAGAATTCACCAGAGACAGAGTGAGGAGCAGAACAGGCAGATTGACAAAGTACACTGCTGAGGGGAGCAGCTGGCGAGACAGGAGAGGTCTAATGCACGATGTGGATCTCCTCCTGGGCCAGGGCAGGGGGGATCGAACTCCCATTGAAGCAGCTCTGGCTATCTTGTAGTGTTGCACTTTAACTCACTGCACCACCAGGAAGGGCCACATTACAGTTGTTTTTTTTTTTTTTCACATTACAGTTTTATATAGAAGTTATAAATTTTTCTGTATGAAATATTTTTTATAAATGGTTTACCTATTGTATTAGTTCCCTCCATCTATTGTGGTTACATGCCAAGATCCCCAGTGGAGTCCTGAAACCACAGTACTGAACCCTATGTATATTACGTGTTTCCTGTAAGTACATAACTGTTACAAAGTTTAATTTATGAATTAGGTACAGTAAGGTTAATAGCAGTAACTAGTAAAATAGAACAATTATAACAATATTTTATAATAAAAGTTAAGTGAAATGGTCTTTCATAATCTCTTATTGTGTATGATGTTCTTCCATCCCACTTGATTGAAGGTAACTGAAACTGGAAAGTGAAATCACAGACTACTGCCATAGCTACTACTGCTGTTGAATTACCATAGCCACTTTGATTTTTGGTTTGGCAAAATATTGGCCTCATCCATCATAGGGGCCATAGCTTCTGCCTCCACAGTTTCCTTCTTTCATGGTACAAAATTTCAGAATCGCTTTCAGCATTACCAAATCTGTTACAGCCATCCCCAGCCACTTAGACTGCTGAAGTTTCCTCTGTGACCAAAATCACCTCCATGACTAACACCAAAGTGTCTAGGACAGTTTCAGCCTCTTTGACTGGATAAAGCACAAACATCTCTTGCTTAGATAGGGCTTTCCTTACTTCACAGTTGTGGCTATTCATAGTGTGATATTTCTGAATGATAGACCAAAACCTCTGGATTGCTTGGTGTTTGGATCTCTCATTTACCACATAATCTGTGAGTGATCCCCTTCTCAAAATGGCCTCTCAAGCTCTTTCATGTTATTTCAAAGCTTTAAACACTGATGATGGGTTCCTGCAGCAGTTCCTGCTACTTGGGAGGTTGACTTAGATGTACATTGGAAGGGGAGACTTACTATGCTCTACTTGGCACTGTTTGTGGGCAGAAAGGAGTCCAATTGTCAGTTCTTGACCCAGTTTGTCTTATCTCATGTGTGGGAAATTCTAGACATTTCATTTATAAATATAAATATTTATAAAGGATAAAGAATTTACATAGACCACATGACATTATGACACCTAAAAATAATTCCTTAATAATATTAAATACCTAATCTATGTTTGAATTTTCTCAATTGTGCAATGCAAATCAAAACCACAATGAGATACCACCTCATACCTGTGTGAATGGCCCATTAAATAAAAAACAGAAACAACAAATCCTGGAGAGGATGAAGAAAAAAAGGACCCATTTTACATTGTTGATGGGATTGCAAATTGGTCCAGCCACTTTGGAAAGCTGTGTGGAGGTTACTTAAAACAAACAAACAAAAAAATGCATCTACCATATGGCCTAGCTATCCAAAAATACCCATAGGATAAAAATTAAAATAACAACAACAAAAAAACACCACTAATTCAAAAGGAAACTTGTTCTCCGATGTTTATTGTAGCACTATTTACAGTAGCCAAAATATGGACACAACCTAAATGTCCCCCAAACAATGAGTGTATCAAGAAGATATGGTGTGTATACACAATGGAATAGTATTCAACAGTCAGGAAAGATAAAACACCCTATTTGCAACATGAATGGAGCTGGAAGGGATTATATTCAAATAAGTCAGAAGGAAAAAGATAAGTAGTAGATGGTTTCACTTGTGGAATATAGAGAAACCAAAGTGTCAAGGGAAAAAAAGACAAAACTTGCAAGCTGACTATAGACTGAGTGATCCAGTGGGGAGAGAGGGGTCAAAACAGGAGCAAAGAGCACAAGGGAATATAGTGCTGAATTATGGGTACAATGATGGTGGGAGAACTACAGGGTCTACACCTGAGTAGAGAAATGAAATACTGTCAAAAAACGTTTAAATGATGTAAAAAATTAAAAATGTAATTGAAAACCATAAAATTTCCCAGTTCTCATGTGTCTTACTAACAGTTTTTGAATCTGAAATTAATTTGGAGTTTTAAATTATAATTAGTTGATATATCTCTTACATCTTAGTTACAGGTTTCTCCTCTCATTTCCCTTGGAATTTATTTGTTGAAGAAACTGTTGATTTTCTAAAAGTCTAGGTCTGCACCACTCAACTGAAATATAAGATAAGCCACATAGATAATTAAGATATATTTTTTTAAGTTTTATCTATTATATGCATACAAAACTGGGGTATAGGCCAGAGGTGCAGGGGCAGTGAGAAGATTCACCAGAGACAGAGTGGGGTTGACTGACGAAGTACACTGCTGAGGGGAGCAGCTGGTGGGTCAGTAGAGGTCTGCTGCACTATGTGGATATCCTCCGGGGCAGGGATCAAACTCATGCTGAAATGGCTTTTGCTTCTTAGTGCTGTGTTTTAATACTGCGCCACCAGGGAGGGCCCAAAATATTTTAATAGCTATATTACAAAAGTAAAAAGGGAAATAGGTGAAATTAATTTGTAATAATGTCTTACTTGAAACATTTCAATGTCTAATTAATATAAAACCATTAATGATATATAATTACTTTTTGAAATATTTTTGGTACTCAATTTTGAAAATCCAAAGTGTATTGTATGCTATAGTGCATCTCAGTTGGACTAAACATAATAGCACCCATATTAAACAGGTCTAGAGTTTGCTGATTGGTTAACTATGGTCTCATTTAGCATGTTCTTTTTCTCGTTGTGAGTTGGTTACATATATTTAAACTTTTCTTTAAATTTTTAACAGAAGAATATTGTAAATGTCAACATTAAGATAAATTCAACTTTGGAGAATTTTTTACAAATGAAACTAAGGCATAACTGAGTTAAACTTTTATTTGTATTTTAGTGCCAGTCCAGAGGAATACAATACCGTTGTACAGAAGCCAAGACAAATTCTATGTCAGTTCATTGACCGAATACTTACAGATGTAAATGTTGGTAAGAAACAGTTATTTCTTACATAAACTTTATAAATTGTTTTCTGTTTCTTAAGTGCAGTATAGTAGCATTTTCATCTATGTAGCTTTTGTACTAGTATTGTTAGCATCTATGATACTTGGCTATTGTGAAACAAGTTATTTACAGTATTATAAATTAAGTTTTTAAGGTAATTCTGTTTTCTTGTTATCTAGATTTTCTAGTGTTTACCATATATTCTTCTTTGACATGATATGTTTCGGAAAACTCTTTGCCCATTCTAAATGATAAAGGCCCTAATTTAGCCAGGATTTGTGCTATTGGGTTAGAAGCAACAAATGTCATAGAAAAGTTTTTAAATCAGAGTTGGTGACTTTAGCAAACAGTAAATCAAAGACAAGAGAGAAGGGGAGGGTGCGGGAGGGAGATTAGAGTACAGTGGCACTTGGTGGGAAAACCATGGTGACAGCACTTGAGAAGAGAGAGACTATTGTAAAAATAGTTTATAAAAATAAACAAGGGTGTATAAAAAAATAAAACATTGGGAAAAAAAGGTGGTGACTCTCTAGGAGGTAATAAGATTCTTTGAGTTGTTAAACCAACTGATTTTATTTGTGGCACTCTAAAAGACATATTACAAACTTGGCAACATAATGTCATATTTAAAATTGCATGGAAGGGGAATATATAGTGGGCTTTGGCTCATGACTTATAAACTTATCACAGATTTTATGACTTGATAGTCATTTGACCTTTTTTCTAGTCAGTGAATTTATGAGTAGCTGAAAAATAACAAAAGAACCGTTAATACTTTTCTTATAATCTTTCCTCTCAGTAGACTACTTGCCCTTCTCTTTATCATCTATAAATCAGCTTCATAGCAGCTTCCCAGAAAATAATTTACTCTGGATTGTTGTAATAATTAACATATTTCATTATAATTATATTCGTTTGATTCCCTCATAAAACTGAGAATTTCTTTTTAGTCTTCAGAATTTTTTTCCCCACCTCCATCCTTCATACCTTTTGACCTTTTCTTCTCCCCCAACTTGTAACCTCAGAAACCTCACTTTATTACTTTGTTGAATCATCCTTCAGTATTTCTCTTTGTCATTCTGACTCATTTTACAGTCCCCTTGAATTCCTTTCATTTTGCTGTAAATAAAACATTTTGTCTTTCCTTATGGCTGAATAGTATTCCATTATTTGGATATACCAAATCTTGTTCCATACCTCTACCAATGGATATTTATACTGCTTTCACATCCTAGCTTTTGTAAATAGCGCTGGAAAACATTGTAAAGCATATAGCTTTCTGAGTTGATGGTTTTACATTCATTGGATAGATGCCCAAGGAATAGGATTGCTGGGTCTTACAATTTTCCATTTTTAGTTTTTAGTTAAATTCAGGTCACTTTCCAAAACGGTTGCACCAGGTTATATTCCTGGCAACAGTGTGATGTGGTTTCTCTTCACATCCTAGCACTTGTTTGTTTGTTTGTTTTAAGATTATTTATTTATGCATACAGAACTGAGATACAGGCCAGAGGTGCAGGGACAGTGAGAATATTCACCAGAGACAGAATGGGAAGCAGAATAGGCAGATCGTGAAAGTATATTGCTGAGGGGAGCAGCAGGCGGGTCAGGAGAGGTCTGCTGTGCCATGTGGGTCACCTCCGGGGCCGGGATCGAACTCGTGCTGAAGTGTCTTTAGCTTCTTACTGTTGTGCTTTAACCCACTGTACCAGGAGGGAGGGCCTTGTTTGTTTTTTTAATGTGTATTATTCTCATGGGTGTGAAAATTGATATCTCATGGTTAACCTGCATCTCCCTTTTAAAAATAATGAACATTTTACCACATATCTATTAATTAGAGTTCTGGATATCCTCTTCAATCCATTTATTAACTTAGTTGTTTTATTGAATTGTGCAAGTTTTTCTATATCTTAGATATTAATTCCAATGAATTTTGTAATGTCTGAATATTCTCTGCCATTCAATAGGATTTTTTTAAAATTAACTTTTATTTTGCAATGTAAAAGCTTTTTAGCTTGCGGTAACTTTTTATTTCCCATGCCATAAAAGCTCTCTAAAACATCTCCAAAGGGGCCCTCCTTGGTGGCGCAGCAGGTTAAAGCGCTGCACTGAGAAGCTTAAGCCACTTCCTCATGCCACTTCCTCATGAGCTCCATCCCCGCCTGCCCTGAGGAGATCCACATGGAGATCCACACAGCGAGGCAGACCCTCCTGACCAGCCCGCTGCTCCTCTCAGCAGTGTACTTCATCGATCTGCCTTTTCTGCTCCCCACTCTGTCCCTGGTGAATCCTCTCACCTTCCGCATCTCTGGCCTATACCCCAGTTCTGTATGAATAAATAAATAAATAAATAAATAAGTCTTAAAAAAAAATCTCCAAAGGTCTCCAGTAACATCTTTATCAGTGATGCAGTGGAATATAACACCACTGTTTCCTTCTATGTATTTTATTATGGCAGCTCTTAAATTTAAATCTTTATTTGGAATTTAATTTTGTGTATGGAATTCATTCTTTCATTTATTCATTCATTTACATATGGCTTCTAGTTTTCCCAGTACCATTTGTATAGGGAAGAGATTTTCCACATTGTATGATCATGGCTACTTTATGTATTATTATATAATATATATTATTATAGATTATATATTTTATATAATATATATTTCATGCATATTAAATATATGCATGAATTTTCATTTTGGGGCCTTGATTGATTCATTTTTGGACCCACATTGATTGATGTGTCTGTTTTAATGTCAATGCCATATTATTTTAATTGTTATTGCTTCCTAGTGTAAGTTGTGGTGACTTGATGCCTCCATTTCTCCTTTTTTCTCAGATAATTTCATTTTCTATTCAAGGCCTCTTGTAGTTCTATATGGATTTTAGTATTTTTTGTTCATTTCCTTGAGGTTAGTATTTTGATATGGATTATGTTAAATTTATATATTGCTTTAGGTAGGATAGTCATTTTGATTATATTGATTCTATCTATGAGGTGAAATATTTTACCTCCTTATGTCACCATCTAAATCCTTAATAATGTCTTAATAGTTCTTGTTGTATGGGTCTTTTGTCTCCATGTTTTAGCTAATTCCAAGATACTTGATTCTTTTTGAAGCTATTGTGAATGAAATTATTTTCTTAATTTTCTTTTCATTTGTTGTTTGTATGTAAGGATGGAATAGATTTTTGTATGTTGATTTGATAACCTGCTATTTTACTGTATTCAGTGTTTCTACCATCTTTTTTGTGTAACCTTTAGGTTATTCTATATATGAAATCAACTGTGAATAGTGATATTTCACTTCTGACTTGGATTCTTTGTTTTTGATTTTCAGATTTTAGCAAAATGTCAGACATGTGGTTCTATAATTCATATCTGATAAAGAGATGCAATAATGAATGCACATAATTATTAAACTTTTAAAGTTAGAAAGACAGAAGTATAGCATTTAATCTCATCAGTTTAGCATGAACTCTGTGCTAGACATAATTCTGGTCACCAAAGTCTGATTTCTTAACAAAAGGACTACCATTTAATTTGTCATGACCCTTCAATTTAAATCTTCTATTACTTTAGTTGTTCTAGAGCTTGTAAAGAAAACTGATGCACAGCCAACCTCTGTGATGTTGCTTGATTTCATCCAGCATATTATGAAATCCTCACCACTTATGTTTGTAAATGTGAATGGAAGCCATGGGCAAAATGAGGCCAAAGGTAGTTGTATTGGTAAGTTCTACTTGTACCTCCATTTGCAATCTGATGTATGAAATCTACTAGTTTCTGCTCTCCTGAAATATACATTATTACTCTTAATTTGGACACGTTTGCTATAAATTGAAGAGGCAAATGGTAATGGTTAGTTTTATTTCATGCATTCATACTTTTTTTTTTGTCTAGATCTGCTTTTTTGTCTGGATGTCTAGAATGGAACAAGTAATTAAATATTTGTCATTGAATACTTAAGCATTGTTTGCTGTTTGGTAATGTGTTTCTTCTATGTCAAATATTGGTAAACTAGAACCCACAGACTGGCTGCCTATTTTTGTAAACATTATTTTGTTAGAATATTCATGGTCACTCATTTACTTATTGTCTGTGACTACTACAATAGTAACATAGAGTAGTTGCCATGGAGACACTGCCTTTAATCCTAAGATATTTCCCCTTAAGTCCTGGAGAGAAAAGTTGGCTGACTCCTGTTCTAGATATTGAAACCCTTTTCTAGGCTTCATTGTAATTGTTCTAGTACTTTTCCTTTTTTTATTGGCCTCCTCATAAAGAAATGTAAAGCAAATATCTTTTTCTCCCTCTATAATGTACAGAAGAAATGTAAAGCAAATATCTTTTTTTCCCTCTATAATGTAATGTATTTTTTAATTTGCCTGAATTTCAAGACTGAAGTTTGCTAGTAGAACATCCAAAATGTTTTTCTGACCGCTGCTTTGAGAGCCTGCCCTTGCTCCATTTTTATACTCTCTTAGTGTAAAAGTTTTGCATTTCTTCTATCATAGTGACTAAGTTGTGTTCTGGAAATCTGTTGTTATGTTTTTTGCTATAGTGTTTTTCAGATAAGTGATGATTATTATTGGGTTATGAAGATGAAATAAAACAGACTAGAAAACACAGTACATTATATGTAATAAAAAGTATTGTTTCATGAAACTTATTTCACATATTCAAATAAAATAAATATGCATATAATACTGGTTTTAGATATAAAATATATCTTAATTGGCTGTCAAAATGTTTGAAAAACTATATTATAGAATTTATGAGGATGGCACTATGATTGATTGATTTTTGTGTACCTGGGGTAAAGTTCCACTCAGTAAGTATTTTTTGAAAGAATGATAATAGCTACCATTAGTCAAGGATTTATTTAACTTCAGATACTGTGCTGAGAATGTCACAGATATTATCTTACATGACATTAGGGTGACCTTAGTGTAACCCATAAAGTAGACGTTATTATCCCCCCACATAGGTGAAGTTACAGAGGTTCAAAGAAATGAAAAGCTCACACAACTACTAAGGAAAGCTAGGAAGGACCTTGTGTGTCTGGTGCCAAAATTATTATTACAATTTTGTTATGTGCTCATTGTGTAGGGTATGTTTTGGGTTATTTTACTGGTAAGTTTATACTTTGAAGATAAATTATCAAACATTTAGCAGCTTAATTAGCACTTCTGATATACTCAATCTTTTTTTTTGCTTATTTATTTCAAAGAATTCAGTAATTGGATCATAACAAGACTTCTGCGGATTGCAGCAACTCCTTCCTGCCATATGTTACACAAGAAAATCTGTGAAGTCATTTGCTCATTGTTATTTCTTTTTAAAAGCAAGAGCCCTGCTATTTTTGGAGTTTTGACAAAGGAATTATTATATCTTTTTGAAGACTTGATTTGCCTCCACAGAAGAAATGCAATGGGTCACTCTGTTGAGTGGCCAGTGGTGGTTAGCCGATTTTTAAGTCAATTGGATGAACACATGGGATATTTACAACCAGCTCCTTTGCAGCTCATGAACATGCAAAATTTAGAATTCATTGAAGTCACTTTATTGACGGTTCTTACTCGTATTATAGCAATTATATTTTTTAGAAGACAAGAACTATTACTTTGGCGGATAGGTTGTGTTCTGCTAGAGTGTGGTAGTCCAAAAATTAAATCTTTAGCAATTAGCCTTTTAACTGAACTGTTTGAGCTGGGCGGACTACCAACACAACCTGCCAGCACTTTTTTCAGCTCATTTTTGGAATTATTAAAACACCTTGTAGAAATGGACGCTGACCAGTTAAAACTTTATGAAGAGCCATTATCCAAGTTGATAAAGAGACTGTTTCCATTTGAAGCAGAAGCTTATAGAAGTATTGAACCTGTCTATTTAAATATGCTGCTGGAAAAACTCTGTGTCATGTTTGAAGATGGGGTGCTTATGCAGCTTAAGTCTGATTTGCTGAAAGCAGCTTTGTGCCACTTACTGCAGTATTTCCTTAAATATGTGCCAGCTGGGTATGAATCGGCTTTGCAAGTCAGGAAGGTGTATGTGAGAAATATTTGTAGAGCTCTTGTGGATGTACTTGGAACTCAGGTCGATGCAGAGGTAAGGCATTTGAGGGTTATTTGTTCATAATTCATGTGCATGCATATATGCAGATATGTTAATAAGAAGATAAGGATATCTTCAGTAATAATGTACATTTAGAACAGAATGATTTTTATCATTATTCTGGCTTTCTGTTATGGATTTTTACTTTGATTTCAGAGAAATTTGGTCAGAGTTGGTAATGGACTGCAAATGGAGTAGAATTTTTGAGGTGTAGAAGGACCAAGACAGTAGGGCACCGAAGGATCCAGCTCCAGTGAGTGTCAGGGATTCAAATTTCTTTCTGTTCTATGGGTACTAGAAATGTCTAGTGGGGAGCCACAGTGACTCCCTTCTCTAAGCCAGCTACTGGTTCTAAGTGTTTTATATCGTCTTGTGTCAGCTTCTACCTCTAGGCTTTATTTGACCCCTAGATGCAATGCTGACGTGGACTGTAGTTATAGTTGATATAGGGTCAAAGGCTGGGAGTTTTTTGTTTTTTTTTTTCCTCCAGCACACAGACTTTTTTTTGTGGTGCAAACATTCATTTGTTTTAGTTTAGGTTGGGTTTGGGAGTGGTATTTTGAATATCCTAGCTTCAGCTTGGAATAGTAGCCTCTTCTATGAGGAGACACAGATGATCAGACGTGTGACCTGGTTTTCCTCACAGGTCAGACTCTAGCTGTTCTCAGAACCTCAGGCCCAAATCAGTAATCCAGGCTCTGCTCCTGCCATTCTTTAACAGTGTAACTTCTGTCCTGAGCAATGATTCTGCGTGCTCCCCCCTTTAAGGGCAGTTCTGAGTTGAGTCCCCAGTTGTGACTTTTGCCTCTGACGCAGCAATTATAGGATATTCTGTATAGCATGTGTCTTTCTTGTGGGTTGTAATGCCCCATTATCACTGTAAACACAATTCACTTAAAATTTGTCCTATCCCTTTTTGACTGTTGTTGTTCTTACTGTGTGCTGTGGTTGCCTGTTTTTCCTGAGAGGTTTTTGACTTTGTTCTGCTGTGGTCTAGTTTTAAGTTAATGGAGGAGGCAAGCCCTGTATCTTCACCCTGTGCCATCTTGCAGACATTACCAGAACTTTTGAAGTTAAATATTTTAATTATACTATTCATTAAAAGAGATCAGGTATCAACTTTATTGCAGAAATGTTCATCTCACATAGATTTTATCTTTGGCAGGTTATACTTAGTCATTTTTAGAAAACCTGAGGGTATATAAAACTAGTATCAAACTATGCCTTTTCCCCATTTGCACTGGGAGGTAGCCAGTATAATAATACAGATATGCAGAAACTTGATTAAATATTTCAGTTTATCTTTAACTCTTGCTGGATTTTTAGTATGAAAAGTTAGGAATTTCTTTTGCAATTTTTCTGTGGTATTTTTATAGAAAAGTAGGTTATTGAGAAAAGGATTAATCTTAGGCCTTTTAAGACTGAAGAACCATAGTTCTATACAGAGACACATAAATCTCTTTTGGCTGTTGTTAACTTATAACCTATTTAAATGTGAAAAAATTGTTTCTTATTAGGAAATACATAACTAATAACTAATGTATTTTTTGCTTAGAGTAATATGAATGTATCTACTAAAAGAGTTTTTGAAATTATTTTTGCTTTCTCAGTATTTGTTAGGTCCACTTTATACAGCTTTAAAAATGGAAAGTATGGCCATCATGGAGGAGATTCAGAGCCAAATTCAACAAGAAATCCTCTGCAGTAATAATGATGAAATGTCATCCAAGAGGTGTCGACTCAGTTCATCTTTAAACTCTTTGAGAAGTGAACCCAAACATCCTGAGGAGTATGACCTGCATTCTATTTGTATTTAGTCATTTAGTAAACCTCTGTTCATTTTAAAAAATCATACTTGGTTAAATGTTTTGACTTAAATACACAAAGAACTTTTGTTCTTTCTAAAGGTTATCATAGTAATACTTGAAGTCTTTTAATAATTCTTGTAGTCTATTCTAATATTAAACATTTCATGACTAAATATGGTTACTTAAAAGAATTTATAAGTCTTATCTAGCTTTTAGAAGTACCTGAGAATACTTCTATTAGCAAATTGAAAAGAATGTTAACACACTTTTTGCAAAATGGCCAAAGAACTTCCATATTTTAGTCTGCCCTGACAGTTGTTTAAAATCTCTTGTTTTAGTTTCACTAATGTATATCTTTAATTTAGATATTTTAAAATTACATCAAATATAAATATATTGTGGATGTGATTAATTATAGAATTATACATGTGGATATGAGCAAGAAGAGCATATTATGGAGTACACTGAAACAGAAAGCAGAATCCCTTCAGATGTCCCTGGAATGCAGAGGTCTAAAGAATACTGTTATTGAGACTTTAGAGGGAATCGCTGTTGTTCTACAACTGACAGCCTTGTGTACTGCTCATTGCTCTCCCCAAGATGTGGACTGGTAAAACAACTTGTATTTTTTTGGTGGGTTTCCTGTGATGAGCTTGGCTTTACTGTTTGAAGAGACTTTAGTATTCTCTTGATTTGTGGGACCTTATGAAACAAACTTAAATGAAATAAATTTGTCTTTTACTTAGCACCTGCTGAATGTTAGATGCTGTATTAAGTACTCTGCATGCCTTATTTAATCTTTGCAATTTGAGGTAAATCCTTTTATGTCCACTTTACAAACCAGAAATTGGGCTTCTTCTTTTTACATTCTGAAGCCTAATCTGTTTAACTTAGGACACAAGAGAAATTAGACTGTTACATTTCTGTATAACTCAGAAACCAATGTTATTTTTGTCAAATACTTAAGTTTACAGAAAATTTCCTTTTAATAATAAGAGTAGGAATTTAATGTTCCTGAGAGATGTACTTTTGGTTGGTATACTTTAGACTGCTTAATTATTCAACCAAGAGAAACAAGAAAAGCAGGAACTCTGAAGATCTCTTTTTTTTAATGCCACATTATAGACCAGTGCTTATTAATTTTTTATACAATTATTTATTCTTCTTTTATTGACTCTTAACTAGGCAACACAGAGTTATAGAGGAGATTTTAGAGAAACTACTAATTCAGATTTCTTTAAATTTGGAATTTGAGATACTAGCTAATTAAACTCAAGTTTGCCCTGTCCTATTATTAAGAAATTATGTCAAATTGTATTAGAAATTATGTAGGAATTTCTGTCATTTTAAACCAGGTGATGCCACATTTAAACATCTTGATTAGTTTTAATTACCAAGTTCTAAGAAGTGATTTAGACTGACAAAGATATTGAACTAAAATGATGATATAAGTTGATTTGTACATTTACTTTGAGTTACTGAAATTACAGGTTAGCTTTATATTGACAGTTTAATTTCTCTGGACTTTACTTACAGTATTAAGTTTGACTGCAACAAAATCCATTTTAATTATCTGTCTTAACAATTATATTTACTGTAGCCATAATTCTAAGGATTATCAAGAGAAATGTAAGAAAAAACCTTCAGTGGTGATAACTTGGATGTTTTTGGATTTTTACACACAAGTGCTTAAGAGCTGTAAGAGTTCATTAAACTCTGCTGAAAAACCGGACCTGGAGACCATCATTGATAAAGTACTGAAAATATGTGATGCTTTGATTTACATTCAAGGTGAGTACAAAAAAGTAGTAGATCAAAGTAACCTTTAAGGATAATACTTGTATACCCAAAATTTTTTCTTGATTTCAGTTCGATTAGCTTGTTAGTAACTTCTAAGTTAAAACTAAGTGATATTTTGATTTTATTTTTCAGTAGGAAAAATTTTCAATTTTTTGATTTGAGAATCTGAAGAAAGCTATGATCCTTCTAAAAACTATGTGATTGCAGTTTTATAGTCAACGTTCCATTGTTTTAGATTTACAGACCTCAGAATAGCGTCTCTATGTTAAGAAATTCCCTGTTCACTGCTCACTATAATTCCATTTCATGTTTAGAATATATTTTTATTAGAAAAGATACAGTTAAACATGTTTAAGAAAATAAATGTAATTTTCTGTTGTGTGTTTCTACAGTAAAAAGCTCATTTGAAGATAATATTCTGGAAGATTTATGTGGATTGCTATCCCTTCCATGGATTTATTCCCATTCTGATGGTGACTCTTTAAAGTTGACCACATTTACCACTGATCTTCTAACATTAAGCCAGAGGATTTCAGATAGCTACTGTAAGTGGTCACAGAATTGTATATGTCTGGTTTGTTTTAACTAATTTCTATGTATAACTTATTTCTGGTTGTTTTTTTTTTTCAATAATTAAAAGAGGGGTGTATATTTTAATAATTTTAAAATAGGAAGTAGCGTGTAAAACATAGTAGTACATGATAAGATTATTTCTTCCTCAACTGTATTCTACAACATTGCTCTCCAAAGATTCCAGTTTATGTTCCTGTTAGCAGAGTTTGACTGTACCTATCATTGCAAATCCCCTCCAATACGTGGCTTTAACAGACTTTAAAATTTTTGGTTCCTGAAAAAAGGTAAAAGAAAAAACATCAAGGAGGTAGCTAAACAAAAATTTCCCCACATTTGTTGAATATGATTTTCATATTGCAGTTTCTCGATTATTTGATAAGATGGTAGGTAAATCTTGTTCAGTGCACATGCTTTATTTTGGAACAGGAACTTTTAATTAATTATTACATTTTTTTCCTCTTTTTATTAAATGTTAACATCATTCTTCATTTTGTGCATTTTTTTCATCTCAGTTGTAATCCCCGTGGGCTTCCTAAAAGAATTCACCTATGTGCTATTTCTTTCTGGCTTATTTCACTGACCATGATCCCTTCCAGCTCCATCCATGTTGCTACAAAAGGCATGCATTTATCTTTTTTGATTGCTGAGTAATATTCCATTGTGTATATGTACCACATCTTTTTAATCCAGTCATCTGTTTTGGGTCATTTGTAAATAGTGCAGTATTATATGTATTTTAAATGTCACTTGACTTTTATGTGGAGAATGAAAATATATGTGTATGTGATTATATGTATATAAAAAAACAGAGATCTTACTTAACAGAGTTAATTTTTTTCAGCACCACAGGCACAATCACAATGTGTGTTTCTTCTGACTCTGTTTCCAAGAAGAATGTTCCTTGAATGGAGAACAGAAGTTTACAACTGGGCTCTGCAGAGCTCCCATGAAGTAATCCGGGCTAGTTGTGTTAATGGATTTTTTATCTTACTGCAGCAGCAGAATTCTTGTAATAGAGTCCCCAAGATTCTTATGTATGTATTCATGTTTTAATTTGAACATATAACTTGAATGGAAAGATCATATATGCAATTTTATTGAGTACATAGAATACTGCTTTCAGTTTTAGTATTAAATTCTTTTCCTTCTAGCTTTTGCCTTATCATTATTTGCCCCAAATAAGATGATTTAGACCACAAAATTAAGCAAGAAGATTTAATATCTTTTCTTTCTTTTCTCAGAGATAAAGTCAAAGACGATTCTGATATTGTCAAGAAAGAATTTGCCTCTATACTTGGTCAACTTGTCTGTATGCTTCATGGCATGTTTTATTTGACAAGTTCTTTAACAGAACCTTTTTCTGAGCATGGACATATTGATCTCTTCTGCAAGAGTCTAAAAGTTACTTCTCAACATAGATGTTCCTCTTCTCGATTGAAAGCTTCTGTTTGCAAGCCATTTCTTTTCTTACTGAAGAAAAAAATATCTAGTTCAGTGAAACTTGGTGAGTGATTTGTTATAATTTATTTAATATTTTAAAAACCTAGTAATCTCTTAAGCTTTAAAAAAAATAGGACTTGTGGGCCCTCCCTGGTGGTGCAGCGGGTTAAAGCACTGCACTGAGAAGCTAAAGCCACTTCTGCATGAGTTCGATTCCCGCCTGCCCCAGAGGAGACCACATGGCGTGGCAGACCTCTCCTGACCCGCCCGCTGCTCCCCTTAGCAGTGTACTTCGTCGATCTGCCTGTTCTGCTCCCCACTCTGTCTCTGGTGAAGTCTCTCACTGCCCCTGAGTCTCTGGCCTGTACCCTAGTTCTGTATGTACAAATAAATACATCTTTAAAAAAAAAAAAATAGAACTTGTTTATAGGTTCATTGCTCATGCAGTGATATTTATAAATGGAATGTTGGTATTAGATTGCATTATAGACTAACAAGGGAATTAATGTTTGGACTTTAAAATGCTCTAGTGATCTAATACTATAAGAAAGCATATCTGATGTTTAGTTCAGTATAATAAGGCTCAGTATTATAAATCCTCTTAATTGATACCAAGGGCTACTTAATATACCTTCTTCCTCTAATTTTAACCTTGGTACTATGAATAGTTAGATACTTTACCCAAGGACTACAGTTTACATTTTCTTTGCCACTTTCCACTGGCAATTACATATTTGTTGGGAGCATGATATTTATACCAGTTAGAAGATCCATATTAAGCAGAAAGTTTCAATCTTTCAGAACTATGTATGATTTTATATATTGTTTTAAACATGGGTATATAAAATCATATTGATACAATAGGTGGTTTCCCTAAGTTGGTTTTTTTTTTTAAGATTTATTTTATTTATGCATACATACCTGAGGTATAGCCCAGAGATGTGGAGGGTGAGAGGATTTGCCAGAGACAAGGTGGGGAGCAGAACAGGTAGATGGACTGAAAACTGCTGAGGGGAGCAGTGGGTGGGTCAGAAGAGGTCTACCATGCCATGTGGGTGGCCTACCTTACCGGGATTGAACTGGGGTGGCTGCGATAGCTTTTTAGTGCTGTACTTTAATCCATTGCACCAATGGATTAATAATATGAAGTTCATAGTAAGACTTAAGACTGTTCTCTGTTTACAGTTTTTTGATTAGTGAGATGCATTTTTAAATCTACCTTGGTAATGAATAATGATCTAAAAAATCTAAGTAACCATTTTATAACTTTAATATTCTAGAATTTATTTAAAATTATCTATAACTTTAAGTGTAAAGCTAAATTTATCAGTATTTTAATCCTTCACAATTCTGTGTGTTCTAAGAATTTAAATATTAATGTTGATATTATAAGGTAACTTAGAATCTCTATAGTATATTTCCTATTGATGACATTTACAGTAAAACTTTGAGGTTTAATGTGTTGAATTAGATATTATGTGCTCTTGCTCTTAGCTTTCATAGATAATCTACATCACCTTTGTAAGCACCTTGATTTTAGAGAAGATGAAACAGATGTTAAAATAGTTCTTGGGACTTTATTAAATTTAATGGAAGATCCAGACAAAGATGTTAGAGTGGCTTTTAGTGGAAATATCAAGCATATATTGGAATCCTTGGACTCTGAAGATGGATTTATAAAAGAGGTCAATAATTTTTTATTTTTAAACATATGTATTTTAATAAACCTGAGTCTAGGAATATCTTTAACTAGTTAATTTTATTGTTTTAGCTTTTTGTTCTAAGAATGAAGGAAGCATATACACATGCTCAAATCTCAAGAAATAATGAGTTGAAGGACACCTTGATTCTTACAACAGGAGATATTGGAAGGTATACTTGGCAGTACTTGTACACTTTCTTTTTAATTCTGGACATTCTTTTTGTTTTATTTGCCTGCTATTAGAAATGTTTATATGACAGGTGAACTATTAAGAGAATGAAATATAATTCCACCTGGCATTTATTTGTGGATTTCCATTTATTTCTGAAAAGTTAATGAGAACTTTTTTTTTTTTTTTTCATTTTAGGGCAGCAAAAGGAGATTTGGTACCTTTTGCACTCTTGCATTTATTGCACTGTTTATTATCCAAGTCAGCATCCGTCTCTGGAGCAGCATACACAGAAATCAGAGCTATGGTTGCAGCTAAAAGTGTTAAACTGCAAAACTTCTTCAGTCAGTATAAGAAACCCATCTGTCAGGTGAGAGTCATTAGCCTTAACTATAGGAAATAGTACTTTGCAAGTGTTCCATGAAAGAACATAAATGTATTTTCTTTTTCTGGCTTTGAAAGATGTATTTTTTTAAAAATATATTTAAGAGAACATAAATCTTCTAAATTTACATTTTAGCATCTTAGTCTGAAGATGTAGATTATAAGTGAATAATGGGAGAAACCACCCTATAAGATTTATTTATACTCTATTATTAATCAATTAAGAGACGCCTTTCATTTCTTAATCTTTTTAGTGATGATAAACTCCATGATGCTTTGGTATTATAGATAAGGCATTTTAAAAAGGGTGACTATTCATAGCTGGAAAGTTAGGCTGTGTTAAAATACTGAGCTTGACGTGTGTTGGAGGTGTAGTCCTTAGCAAAATATTTAGGTTCCTTAACTAAACTTAATTGCTGAATCTGCAAAAAGGAGATTATGACATAATTCACCTCAATAATGTAATAAACATAAAAAGATGATTCAAGTAACTTATTTAGTATACTGTAGAATTATATGTTAGCTTAAAAAAATACCAGTTAAATTTTCTTCATGTGTGAAAATTAACACATTGTTTTGCTCTAGTTTTTGGTGGAATCCCTTCACTCCAGTCAGATGACAGCACTTCCTAACACTCCGTGCCAGAATGCAGAGATGCGAAAGCAAGATGTGGCTCACCACAGAGAAATGGCTTTAAATACCTTGTCTGAAATTGCCAATGTTTTTGACTTTCCTGATCTTAATCGTTTCCTTACTGTAAGTTGCAAAGTAAAGGTTATTTAAGTGAGGTTTTCAATTTAATATCTTGCATATTCCATTCAATATTTTTTTCTTTGAAGAAAGTATGGCATGCATATTAAGCAACATATAGGACCTAGATGATCAAATTACATGTTTTCTTTTGACTTTTATATGATTTTATTATGATAGAAAAGTGAAGCTCATGTTGATATGAGTCGTTCTGTATGATTAGCTGTTCTGATACATTAATACTGATTGGTTGATAGTAAGCCCTTCTGTGTTTAGTGCTTTAATTGGTTCCATTATTAGTACAGAGTATAATATATTCCTCTTACAAGCTAAGGAGTTGAATTGTATGCAATATGAGTAGTATAGTTGATCTTCTGTGAATTCACATGACAGAGTGAGTAGTATAAAGAGGGTTGTTTTTGACTTTCCTGAAGCCTTTGAAAAATCTTTAGGAAAAAAATAAAGTCATTGGGGCTAATGTTTGAAAGATGTCTGGGATAAATTACCTTCTTACTTTTTCCAAAGGCAAAACTTATTACTCTTAGTTAATTATAGTGATTCATATAAACTTTTTTCCTACAATATTGTCACATTTCAACAAACTTAAATGCTTGTAAATAGTTCAACTCCTAAAAGAAAATATGATAAGGACACAAAGATATTCTTAGCTTTTCATTCAGCATTTCTACACTGGGAGCCAGTGTTTATTTCAGTATGTTGTAAGCAGCAAAATCAAATAGTACCCTGAGAAGAAATTAAACATCTGGTATTTAAGCCAAGGAATATGTTGTAATATTGTAGAAACTACCTTATAATGTTCCAATATTCTTAATAGATTAACATTGAATTAACACAAGTTAAGTGTAAATGTCTCTGAGATTAGAGCCTGACTTTTACTCACTGTCACATCTCTAGTGCCCAGGGTCGTGACCGACATGTAGAAGGTATTCCTTGGATACATTCTGAATGAATAAATAAAAGGCCACTCATTTTGTGTCTGAAGTTTTGTATGTTATTTTATGAATAAGATCTTAAAGAAAATAGACCAAAATTAAAATAGATTTATTGCTTGTTGGGATGGTGTGTCTTTAATATGTAGCATCAGCTTTTTAATTAAAAAAACTTAGCATTTTACATTTATGACTACTCTTGCTTATTGTTTAAATATAAGTTAGCTTAAATAATTCCTTAAGATTGTTACTTCTGCCTCAGGGCATGAGTATATTTAATCATGTACCCATGAGGAATACCTTCTTTGCTTCTTTTTGGTATCTCTCTTCCCTTCAATGTAATGTAAACTCTGTGCCATCTGGATCTTGCATATTTTTATTGCCTTGTCTGCCATGCCTGAAACACTGTATCTGCTAGTAAATATTTATTGAATGAGTACATGGTAAATCAGAATTCAAATGCAAGTTACATGTAGCTTGAAAAATTGTACTGTGCTATAGAATATTTTTGCAAATAACTTGTGAATATTTTACTACCTGGATAAATGTATTTTTTAGTAATTGTAGTATTTCTTTTTCAGAGGACATTACAAGTTCTGCTACCTGACCTTGCTGCCAAAGCAAGCCCTGCCGCTTCTGCTCTCATTCGAACTTTAGGAAAACAATTAAATGTCAATCGTAGGGAGATTCTAATAAATAACTTCAAATATATATTTTCTCATTTGGTCTGTTCCTGTTCCAAAGATGAATTACAACGTGCCCTTCATTATCTAAAGGTAATTAAATATTTGTATGTATTTTACTCTTTTGTTTAAATTAGCATTACAGGAAAGCTGTTGTAATCCTTGTAGGAAGGAGAAGGGGTAACATACCTATTTTAGAGTAATATAAATTCTAATGGTATTATATAAATTTTGTCCTGTAGCTAAAGGAGCACATTAAATAGAACTAGCCTGTAATTTTTGTGACCATATAATGGTCATTCATTCATGGATCAGGTTCAGCTTATTTCATTTTAGAAGTTTTTAATTGATTGGAGCTGTAAGTTAACTGTAGTTAATAGCAGTGTTTAGTTTCTGAGTGCTTTCATTATAGTTGGACCCAGTTTCTTGCTAATTTTAAAATTAAAATACAGTTTATGCTTCTTTTGATATTGTAATAACAATGACGCCTTTAAATAGCATGAAACTACATAGGAACAGAGTACATGTCAGATATACATATATGCTCTACCATTTATTCGGATGCTAATTTATTTTTTTTACTGTTTCATAACTTAACCATTATTTTATGTCATAATATACCAGTATAGGTCTCTTTCCACATGAGAGTTATTGAATAGTGAGTATATTTATTCATTTTGAGAAAGAAAATCTGAATTATAGAAATGGGAATAATGTGAGAGTGTTTATTGTCAGAAATTTTGCTAAACAATTTTTAAATTTATTTATTCATTCATACAGAACTGGGGTACAGGCCAGAGTTGCAGGGGCAGTGAGAGGATTCACCAGAGACAGAGTGGGGGGCAGAACAGGCAGATTAACGAAGTCCACTGCTGAGGGGAGCAGTGGGCCGGCCAGGAGAGGTCTGCCGCGCCATGTGGTCACCTCCGGGGCAGGCAAGGATGGAACTCATGCGGAAGAGGCTTAAGCTTCTTTGTGCTGTGCTTTAACCCGCTGAGCCACCAGGGAGGGCGCTAAACAATTTTTATGTATTATTTCACTTCTCTGAGTTACATAATAAGACAAAGGTACTACTAGCTTTTCATATTATAAATGAGGAATCAGGCAAAGAGAAGTCAGATTAGGAAAGTCACATCACAAGTAGTGATAGAATTGGAGTTTATATTCTAGCATTGTGGCCAGAAAGACTGTTCTGAAGTATACTGTATTTTTTCCTAGGGATTATGCATTATGAATAGTGAGTTGATGATATCATAAGACCCTATAGAAGGCTAGGACTTCCTTTTTACAATTTTATTTCAAAATAAAGTTTGATCACTACTCTTTATTATTATCTATAGCTCATCAGAGACCTACCAGAGGAAAACAAGATTAGAGTACTTTTCCAAATGCCATTAGTAAACATTTTCACCTGATCTAGCATTCCTGTTTTACTTAATACTTTGTTGAAATCCGTAGATATAATTCTAATAAATTTTAGTATTTTTAGAAAAATAAATTATTTTCAATGTGTCTTTGGATTAGAATGAAACAGAAATTGAACTGGGGAGCCTGTTGAGACAGGATTTCCAAGGATTACATAATGAATTATTGCTACGTATTGGAGAACACTATCAACAGGTTTTCAATGGTTTATCAATACTTGCCTCATTTGCATCTAGTGATGATCCATATCAGGGCCCAAGGGATATCACATCACCTGAACTAATGGTAAGGCATATATTGTTTGGATTTTTCTGTTTTTATCCTTTTTGTATCTCAGTTATGAAAATGGAAAAACATGCTTTTTGCAATTTGCAAATAGTTAAAAATTTGTTTTAATTCAATTTAATTATTTTTATTGGTAATCTTCTCCCCCCTGCAACATGTTAAGAAATTTTTAATTATATTATTTTTCAAAATTGATTTATATTTTTATGTCAGGTCTCATTCATTTATTTTTTATTTTTTTAATTTTTTTTAAAGATTTATTTATTTATGCATACAGAGCTGGGGTGCAGGCCAGAGGTGCAGGGGCGGTGAGAGGATTTATCAGACACGAGTGGGGAGCAGAACAGGCAGAAGGACAAAGTACACTGCTGAGCAGCGGGCGGGACAGGAGAGGTTTACCATGCCATGTGGATCACCTCTGGGACAGGTGGGGATCCAATTCATGAGGAAGTGGCTTAAGCTTCTCAGTGTTGTGCTTTAACCCGCTGCGCCACCAGGGAGGGCCGTCATTTATTTAATTTTTAAGTGAGAAATACAAGTTACCAAAGGCAGTATACCAAGGGCTTTGTTTGGATGGTTCTGCAATTGTTGCTGTAATTTTTGTTTTCACTCCAGTTTATCTGTTTATTCCCATTTGTTTTCATATTCCAATCTGGAATTAGTAGTGATGGCTACACAACTTTGTGAGTATACTAAAAACAAATCAACAATATAATATACAATGAAAATTTTTATATTATATGAATTAAACCTGAATTAGGAAGAAAAAATAGATATTATAACTAAATGCCATGTAAGATTCTGAATTGGATCCTGAAACAGTAAATTAACATTGATAATCTTTTTCTAAGTTGAAATATATTAGACATATTATATGATCTAAATTTAAGGCTGTATACAGCATGTTAATTTGGTACATTAATATATGACTGCTGTTGTGATAATCACTTCCTCTGTCATGTTACATAATTAATTTTTATTGGTGGAATAATTACAGACTGTCTTTAGCAGGTTTGATAGCTATAATACAATATTGCCTCTGTTCACTGTCTCTGTTCACTGTGCTGTTACATTTCTAGAACTTATTTACTATAATTTGCAGTTTGTACCTTTAAACATCTATCCTATCCTACTCCCCTGGTAACCACCATTGACTCTGTCTTTATAAGTTTGGTTGTTTCAGATTCCATATACATGGGGTATTTTATTTTGAAAAGTTTGATGATTTAAGTTGCATGGTTACAGTAAGGTATTAACAATATATAGTGGACTTGAAAAACAGGCATTTTTGAATGGTTTTCCTACCACTTAGTGAAAATTTAATATTTGCTGCTTTTTAACTCTAGATTAGAATACATTTGTAGCTTCCCCAATTATCTCTTTCTTATTAGCTTTACATAGTAACTATCATTTCTAAATATCTTTAAATTTATTATTGTTTTGAAGAAAAATAGCAGATATATTTTCCCTGTTCACTTCTTCATTTGTATCTGAAATCATTTTACTATTTATTTTTTCACCTGAAAAAATATATATTTCCTTAGACATGCTATTTTTTTTTAAAGATTTATTTATTTATGCATACAGAACTGGGGAGACATGCTATTTTTTTTAATCATCCTCATTTCAAGAGACTGTGAAAGGACCTTAAGCAAAATACCCTGAGGAAAAGATCCCATTTATTCTTTAGTTCAATCTGCTCTTACTATTATAACTGAAATTCTATTGCCAAGGTCAAAAACAGTCTTTCACTATCAAATCCAGGTGTCTCTTTCTGTTCCTATTTTATTCAGCCTTTTGGTAGAACTTAGTACATCTGACCATCCCTTCCTTTGTAGCATATTTTTTTATTTTGTTTTGTCCTCTCATGTTTTAGTGACACTTTTCCTCTACTTTATCCCCTGAATGTTAGATTATTTCAGAATTTTGTATCCTTTCTTTCCTTAAATGAGAGAAAATCTGGTCTCATCTGGACTTTGCTTTAATATGATTTATATTTTGGTGATTTCATAGTTGAAATTCTATTTCAGCATTTTCTTGAGCTTTGGACAGGTTAGGTTCTAGTAGGAGGTAGATGGTATGCATACAAATTTTTAACTGAAAATGATTTAAACAATGGCTATTTTCATTTTTGTGGGCTATGTTAGGAAAAACAGCAAGGCATGTTAAAGAATCCAGAGACTAAGAACAGCAGAAAAAGTATGCTCTGTTAGTCCTAGGCAAGGAATAGAAATGGTATTATCAGATCCTGGTTGAGAAGTAGAACCATGGTGTGGGATGAGGGGGAGAACTCTGATTATATGGAGTGGGATATAGCCATGGGCAGAACCACCTCAAACCTGGAGGGAGCTGGAAATATAAATACCATGCTCACTTCTTTCTGCCTTCTGTTCCCATGTTGGTGCTTTTTGTTAAAACTGTATTCAGTGAGAAACCAGCTGAAAAAGGATCTTGAGTGATGAAATCAAGTTAGCTTCCCAGGGCAGGAAAAGGAAGAAAATGGATCTGAGGATATACAAGCATGGCAGACAGACACTATCCAAATTCCTCATTTTCTTTCTTTCTTCTTCTTTTTTTTTAAGATGTATTTATGCATACAGAACTGGGGTACAGGCCAGAGATGCAGGGGCGGTGAGAGGATTCACCAGAGACAGAGTAGTAGGGAGCAAAACAGGCCAATTGATGAAGTACACTGCTGAGGGGAGCAGCAGGCGGGTCAGGAGAGGTCTGCTGAGCCATGTGGGTCACCAGGAATGAAGCTCATACTTAAGTGGCTTTAGCCGTGCCACTTAGGGAGGGCCCCCAGATTTCTTATTTTCATCTCTACTTGCCTATCTTATAAGCAAACATCTCAAACAAACCCAAATATTACATGTCTATTGCAATCTTCATTTACCTCCCTAACCTTTTTCTCTCCTAGCCTTCCCTGTTTACAGGAATGGAGTCATTATATCAGCCTAGATTTTCAAATCAAAACCTGGTTAACATTCATGAGCCTTTCATTATCTTTATAATTAATATCAGCAAATCCTATTCAAGTATACCTCCAAAATAGATCTTTCCATCTTTGTTATGACCATCCACATATAAGTGCCTATCTTTCTTCAAGACAGTTGCAGAAGCCTCTATCTTCTTTTCCTTCTCTATATCTATATTCAAAATTTAGACAGTATTCAAAGCACTCGTCTTACAACTTAAACAGGTCATGTGTTTTTATGTTCTCTCTATGATTTTCATTGTTCTTAAAAATCTGTAAGGCTGCACTGACTGTGTACCTTTCCAACTCATTGTACAACTCTTATTCCCTCCTCCCTATGCATAAGCATTATTTCATTTGTTTGTATTAAACATGTCAAGCTTCTTCCTACTTCAGAACTTTTGTATTAGATATTCTCTTGGAATAATCTCCTGTGTCTTTCTCATCCTTTTAGACCTTCCTTTTAGATCTTCTTTAGATCTAAACTCCCTCATCCCACTTCTGCTCTAGCATACGATATATTTTTTTTCCCTTATAGCATTTACTACAACTTTATTTACATAATTATTTTGTGGCTCCTGCTTGTATTAGTCTCCCATGTAAAGTAGTATGACACAGAATTCTATGTGAGCATAATAAATATTTGGAGAGTGGTAAATGAATGAACTATTTGTGTCTGACTAAATGAAGAACTTTGAAATTAGAATGTTGACTTAGACCATTTGTGTATCATCTATATCTGCTTTTCATTTAAGAATCATGGGCAATTAGTGAAATGTGGCTCATTAACTCTTAAGTTGAATCTTAATCCGAATCAGAAGTTTGCACAGTAAATGTAATTTTAGACTAGAAAGATACACAATTCTCTGTGCTTGGTAGGAGAAAAGTTTTTCCCAACATCTGATTTAAGGAGATGTGTTGAACACCTAACTTCACTTTACTAAGTGCTGACACACCTTCTTGTCCCTCTCCTTCCCTTGTCAGTGTATGCAACCTAAAGGTACCTAAATCAGAAGCAACAATATCAAGCCATGGAACTAACCTTTACAATTGGAAAATACTTTATTATTTTTTTAAAGATTTATTTATTTATGCATACAGAAATGGGTATAGGCCAGAGGTGCAGGGGTGGTGAGAGGCTTCACCGGAGACAGAGTGGGGAGCAGAACAGGCCGATTGATGAAGTACACTGCTGAGGGGAGCAGTGGGCGGGTCAGGGGAGGTCTGCCGCACCATGTGGGTCACCTCTGGGGCTGGGGATCAAACGCATGCTGAAGTGGCTTTAGCTTCTTAGTGCTGTGCTTTAACTTGCTGTGCCACCAGGGAGGGCCTGGAAAATACTTTTAATTGCTACTCCTCCCCAACTTTTTTTTCTTGCCCTTTTTCTTGCCTATATGTAAAGATTTTGAAAGAGGTGTATTCTTTGCAGAGTACTGACATTTCCAGTACAACTTAAATGTATTTAATACTGTACTATATACTTTAAGTATTTAATACATGAGGATCCTACCTCAGATCACTCTAATTAAAAGTTTGTTTTTTTTATTGTATAGTACTGCTTAATTATATTTTTCATGGTGATTATAAATCAGTTTCACTAATTTTTGAATACTACAAGTGAAAATGTATGATTTAGGAGAAAATTCACCAACTTTTCCCAATATTCCAATGTTAGATAAAATAGAAATGATATAATTTAAATAAATGTTGGCTTATGAAATTTGATCTTATAAAACTTCAATAATATGTTTGTGTGTGTTTTTCCTCTTTAGGCTGACTATTTGCAACCCAAGTTGTTGGGCATTTTGGCTTTTTTTAACATGCAGTTACTGAGCTCCAGTGTTGGCATTGAAGATAAGAAAATGGTAGGTACTAGAATAGAGTTAATATAGAATATGCAGGAGGTGTGTCTTCTGATTTTAGCTATGAATGTTCAAAGATAAGAAATCATCAAACATAATATTCTGTATCCCTGAACAGTTTGTGTAAACTTTTGGTGAGAAATTACAGCATTTACAGACAAATAACACAACTGGCTTATAGGAATTTGTTGCCTCTGCAGTTAAAAGTGTAACCACGGAAATAACTTGATTTTAGACACAATCAGTTAATCTTAACTTAAAGTTCCTTGAATTCATTCTGTACTTAAGTGCCAGGTAATGGCACCGATACCCTTATTGGTGTTACAATATCTACCTTATGGGAAAAAAGACAGCAGCAATCCTTGATATTGCAAACAGATGTGCTATTTTAAATTATAGAAACCAAAGTAACTTCAATATTTGTCAGTTTTTCTTTAAATGCATTTGGTGTAGTGAAGTGTCATTATGATTACCAACTGGTTACCACTAGAAAAGTTTCTCTATAGATTGGGGTAGAATTCTAAATAATGATTAATTTTCCCTTTTTCTTTCTTCCTCTGCCATCAGTAGAAGTGCAGTAAAACTCCATGATTGAATGTCTTTATTTCAATTTATATGCCCCTTAAATAACCTTAAAGAGCTAAAAATGCATGATACAATATTAAGCTCTACAAATTTCAGCAACTAATACTTGTTCTTTTGGTGTCACTTGGTAAATCTGATTCTTTGTGGTATCTTTCTTATTGTTATCCCCAGTGAGAGAATAATCTCAAATAAAAGAAACTGGAGTTTTAAATTTAAACCATAAAGAACATGCCTGTCTTGGCACATTCTTAAGCTTGGTTGAATAGTTTCTTTACCCTTTTATTAGAATCTATAACTTTTTGTAAAAGTCTTAATTCTGTGTTTCACACAGAGAATAAAGTATGAGTGTTATTGTTTGTTTTATTAAAATTGTACTTGATTTAATATCATTAGAAGAAATATGTGTATAATACATTGCGGTTGGAAATACATTTGAAGAAAATTTAAAAGGCATTTTCAATGAATTTGAAAGTTACTATTTCGAAGGACTATCCAGTACCAAAGTCACAGATCATCTTCAAGGGGAAAAAGAAAACAGCTCACCTTGTATTTTTCACATTCATTATTCCTACATAAGAAAATGGACAGAATGAACTTATGAGTATTTATTAGACTTTATGTTGACAGAAAATAGTATTCTTATAGTAGGGCAGGTCTTGTCTTTAGACCTCATCTGTTTCAGCCAGCTCGTTTTTAAATTTTATTTTAAAGTACTACTTTTTCTATAGGCACTGAACAGTTTGATGTCTTTAATGAAATTGATGGGACCCAAACATGTCAGTTCTGTGAGGGTGAAGATGATGACCACGTTGAGAACTGGCCTTAGATTCAAGGATGATTTTCCTGAATTGTGCTGCAGGTATATGATTGCCTAAGTCAGTGAGATTTTTTGAATTTTCCAGTAGCATTAACTTGAATTCTTATCTCTGAGCTGAAATGGGTTCAAACTGTAAACAGTTAAGATAGAAAACCTATTTATATTGAAAAGAGCATGAATTTACTTCTTTTAAAATACCTTACTATGGACTCTATATTAATATACTGGGAAATGGGTATTGTAATAGATCCCTGCATACCCATAGCCTAACTCCACCTGTTATTGGCACTGGTAATCTTATTTACTGTATCCACCTCCATCTTGGAAGGTTGTAAAGAAAACAACAGTGTTGAAGGGACTGTGGTAATGGTGCACAGGTAAAGTGGTGGTGGGAATTTCATGGGGGAAATCACACGTTGGACAACAGTGAAGGATGATGTAATGAATATATTTAAAAAAATAAAACAACAGTATTGTAATTAACGCAGATGTATCTAATGGATAGGACGTAATTACTGTTTTTCACCTTGTTCTTTTGGCTTAATATAGAGATCACCCTATTTCAAGACACAGTGCTATTTTTTGCCTTGTATAATCTTATTGTTGGTGTATATCTTTGTTCAGCTAATAATGGATTGATGGAGATTTACAAATAATAAAAATAATAGAACTTGGTTTTTTGGCTTAATATAGAGATCACCCTATTTCAAGACATAGTGCCATCTTTAATGATTGCCTTGTATAATCTTATTGTTGGTGTATATCTTTGTTCAGCTAATAATGGATTAATGGAGATTTACAAATAATAAAAATAATGGAACTTCTAATTTTGTTCTTAGAGCTTGGGACTGCTTTGTTCGTTGTCTGGATCACGCTTATCTAGGCTCCCTTCTCAGCCATGTAATAGTAGCTTTGTTGCCTCTTATACACATCCAGCCTAAAGAAACTGCAGCTATATTTCACTACCTCATAATTGAAAACAGGTATTTCTTATATCTGATAAGATTAAAACAGATAACAGCTTTTAATTACTGTTTATTTGTGTGTCAGGGGTTGGTAATTGGGAACTGTTCACATTCTTTTTAATTTAAAGCCTATTGGTAAACAAAAGTAATTGACATGCTTTAAATTAGTACATACTGGACTGATGGTATTTCATTTGTGACATTTTTTTCCATTATGATTATATTTAGAACTCATTAATTAGTAGGTCATTAATTCAAAATTATAGCACATCAATTTTGAAAGCAATGAGGCTAAATTTACCTTTCCTCACACATAAAAAACAGTTGAGGGCCCTTTCTGGTGGCATAATGGATTAAAGCACAGCACCATTAGCTCCCTGTAGCAATTTCGATCCCCCACCAGGGAGGTGACCCACATGGTGTGGCAGACCTCTCTTGACCCGCCCACTGCAGTGTACTTCATACATTTGCCTGTTCTGCTCCCCGCTTTGCCTCTGGTGAATCTTCTCACTGCTCCCGCATCTCTGGCCAGTATCCCAGTTCTGTATAAATAAATAAATTAATTAAAAAAAAGAGACAATTGAATGGCATGACAAAGGTTGGGAGGTTTATTTAACTGCTTTCTTACTTAATTGAAATCATATTTCATTTACTAGTCTTTCAAATACACTCCTTCAAGTGTAATTATGTTTCTTCTCTCTTATGTACTTTGTTAACGTAAGTAACCTAGCTGACCCAAATTGCAGAAGTATTCCAAGTATATCAAAAGTATAAGCTTATTCAGGGCCACCATCATAACAGAGCAAGTGATTTTTTTTTTTTTAGGTTATTTACCACTATTAATTAGCTGAGTTCTTAGAAAATAAAAAAAATGTTTTGCCAATCAGTGAGCACTTTAAAGCATGACTAAAATTAGTCTTAGTTCAGTCTCCACTTAATATTTTTATGATAGCCATTGTCTTTTTCTTCCAACTATTAGGGATGCTGTGCAAGATTTTCTTCATGAAATATATTTTTTGCCTGATCATCCAGAATTAAAAAAGATAAAAGCAGTTCTACAAGAATACAGAAAGGTATTATTTTATTTATATGGTTTAAGAAAGGCTTGATGTAAAATTTTTTCTAAGTTCCAATACATTGACTGGACATTCCTTTGAACCCTGTCTGGAGATAATCATTCTGATGCCTAGTTCTTGGTAACTAGGTAATCTTTTCATGAATCTATTCTTTTTAGAAGTAAGTTGTAGCATTTAGATCAAAGACATAACTTGTGCTGGCGCAGAAAACAAAGAATATATTTCTCATGCCTTCAGTACCCAGGTCACTATGTCCTTATAGTTCCCCAGATCAGAAACTATAACAGCTGCATACCCTGAGTAAAAAAAAAAAAAAACTAGGGAGGATCCTATTTATGTTGTACTGCTAACCATGGTGTAAAATGTCATTTCTGACTGGTTTCTTTTGAAGAAGGATGATCTGTAACTTCATCATTTTGAAGTTCTGTGAACTCTGGAATTAATAATATATTAATGGTGATTCCATAGAATTTTAGGGCAAAATAGCAGAGGTATTTACTACAGACCTTAAGATTGGTTTTGAAGACTTTATTTCCGCTTTTACTGGATATGCCATCATATCCAGTTCAGGACTTCTAGGTAGCATGTTGTCAGTAAGGGAAATTTCTACTTTGGTGTGCATTTCTTTTATATAAAAAACTATTTAGTTCAGATAAAATTTTTCTCTAGATCTAAAGATTTTAGAATGAAATTCTTTTCCTGAGAATTACTGACAGTGACAAATACTATAAAATGGAAGAGGTAAAAATTTATCTTTTTAAAATTACTCTTAATTGATGTAGAGTTTAACTGTTTTACGTTAAAGTTACTGAGAATCCAGGTCTTTTGAAATGATTCCTAAAGTGGTTAATAAGATATATCTGTTCCTCTTATATAGGAGACCTCTGAGACTACAGATCTTCAGATAACTCTTCAGCTGTCCATGAAAGCAATTCAGCATGAAAATGTAGATGTTCGTATTCATGCTCTCACAAGCTTGAAGGAAACCTTGTATAAAAATCAGGTATACTAATTATAATCAGAAAGCTGCAGGAAAGATATATTGGAAGTTTAAAGTACAAAGATGGCGTTTGCTTGAGATTCAGTGAGTACAATAGAAGGCATGACTTCTATTTTGCTTAGATTATCAGATCTAACTTGGAATCGATAATCCACAAAATGCCATTTGAGACCAAACACTAGGGATATGCAGAATTTTTGGTTGTTTTTGAAAAGTCATGGTTTTATTGTTATAGTCTAATTTGTAGCAACTTCCTGAGTATCGGTGTATGCATATAGCAGCAGTTTATATGACTTCTTCTATAACCTGTAACTTGTAAAATTTCAGTTATTCTGCCATTGTATTTTTTTTTATTGAGTTAACTAATTTTAATGAAGCTAAATTTTTAAGTTCACTTTTTCATAGAGTGAGTGAACTTTATTCTTTTCTTGGTAATATAATGTAGATTATCCTTAACCTTTATGATGAGAAGTGTTATTTCCAGAACCAGGTTTATAGATTTATGAAATGGAAAATGCTTAACTGAGAACTTGACTTTTGTATAGCAAGAACTCATATATTAAAATGTCAGAGCTTAAGATCCTCAGGAAAGAGTGAATTACAAAATTAGGTTCTGCTTGTTTTTAATGATAGCAAATTGCTTTATCCTAAGCATTTACTTAAAACAAAAGATATATACATGGCAATGCAAGCGTGGTTCTGGATGATTGAATTTTTACAACCTGTATAACAGATGTAGAAATGGTCCTATGGAATTTAAGTAGCCTTGAACTGCTACCAATGTAGGTCTTATTCCCTCCTGTGAGACTACCTTACAATCATATAGCCTCCTTCTCCGAGTCTGCATTAACACTACTGTATGATTACCTCTTTCCTTAAATCTCTAACTTAAAGGGACTCTAGCTTTTAATATAGGCATTTATAAGTAGCAAGGGGTCTTTCCTCTTGTTTTAGAGGTTTTTTATGTTATTTCCAAGCCCGTGACATAATTATGGTCTAACATAAAGAAACTTCATATTAACTGTCTCTTTTGTGTGAATGACAATCTGAGAACTTAAGAACATTTCTAGCACACTTATGGAAAAGCTACAGGTGCTTCACTTTTGTTACCTTTGTCACAAAAAAATAAATCACATCTGGTAATTCCCTAATAAGTCTCCCTTCAGTGTAAATTCCTACTGTTGCTAGGTTTCCTAGGCAGAGTAAGAAGGTAAGTATACTTGCAGGAGTCTTGAATGTCAGATTTAATTGTCTGAAAAAGATGTAATGGTTATAGATTATTACAGGATTAAAAAAAATTATTTATGCATACAGATCTGGGGTACAGGCCAGAGGGCAGGGATGGTGAGAGGGTTCACTGGAAACAGAGCGGGGGAGCAAAACAGGTAGATCGACACAGTGCACTGCTGAGGGGAGCAAGGGGCAAGACAGAGGTCTGCTGAGTCATGTGGATCACCTTCGGGGCTGGGAATTGAATTTGCACTAAAGCAGTTACGGTTAGCTTGTTGTGCTGCATCCTAATCTGTTGTTCCACCAGGGCATCCCTATTAAGGATATTTTCTTAAAGTGAGGGTTAATTTAGTTTAGTGTCAGTATGTAACTGGATAAATTTACTTTTTGACTTTTTGAAAGAATAAACGATAGCAGTGTTCAATGGATAGCAGAATTTTTTTCTTAATAAGGTAACACTGGTTTATATCACTGCAAATGATTCAGAGGTATAGGCACAATTATCAGGTTTATATTACCATACCTCAGCCACTACCACTACCCTGTAAGCTCTCCACCATAGTCCATTGGTACCTTCCCACTTTGTTCCACTCCCTCTTCACCCTCTCTTTTGGAGCCTCAATTGTACAGTCAGACTTCTAGGGTTTTTGGTTTGGTTTTATCTGTCTCCTGTTCTCTTTCTCTGTAGTTCACATATATGTGACAATTTTGATTAAAAAAAACTCAAAAATATACATCAAATTAAAAAACCATTAATATCTTTCTGAAAAATAGAGAAACAGTGGAAAAAAGAAAGTCTTAACTAGAAATGGTATTGGGCTAAATTTAAAGCAAAAAAAAATCTAGATCACTATCTCACACTATATATAAAAATTAACTCAAAATGGATTAAAGACTTGAATGTAAGACATGAACTCAAAACATACACGGAAGAAAATAAAGTCAGAACACAGCACGATATTGGATACCAATGGTAAGAGAAAGAAAAGCAAAAATAAACAAATGGAACTACATCAAACTAAAAGGCTTCTGCACAGCAAAAGATGCCATCACTAAAACAAAAAGACCCTGTTGATTGAAGGAGATATTTATACTCCACACATCTGACAAGTGGCTAATGTCTAAGACCTACAAAGAACTTATATAACTTACAAAAAGAAAATAACCCAACCAAAGAATAGGCAGAAGAACTAAATAGACACGTCTCCAATGAAGACATGGATGACCAACAGGCACATGAAAAAGTGCTCATCAGCTCTTATTAGGGAAATGCAAATCCAAACCACAATGAAATACTACCTCATATCTGTGAGACTGGCTCATATCAAAAAGATCAGAAACGACAACTGTTGGTAAGGCTGTGGAGAAAAAGAAGTCCTCGTACATTATTGATGGTTCAGTATACTGACCCACATGCTTTGGAAAGCAATATAGAGGTTTCTCAAAATCTTAAAAATGTATCTACCATGTAATACAGCAGTTTGACAACTAGATATCTACCTGAAAACACACACACACACACACACACACAAATTCCAAAGTATTTATACTCTTATAATGATTACAGTACTATTTTTTCAAAAGATTTATTTATTTATGCATACAGAACTGGAGTACAGGCCAGAAGTGCAGGGGCAGTGAGAGGATTCATCAAAAACAGTGGGGAGCAGAACAAGCAGATTGATGATGTTGCTGAGGGCAACAGCAGGTGAGACAGGAGAGGTCTGCTGTGCCGTGTGGGCACCTCCCTGGCTGGGATGCTGCAGTGGCTGCAGATAGCTTCATAGTGCTGTCAAGCTATCTCACTGCACCACCAGGGAGAGCCCCTACCATACTATTTTCTACTGCCAATTTATGGAAACAACCTAAGGGCCAAACAACGGATGAGTAGATGTAGTGTATATAAATATATATGTGAATATATATGCGATGTACTACTACTTCACTGCAGATAAAAAAAATACCTTTTTTCTCAACATGTGAGGGACTGAGGGGGTCATACAAAATGAAATAAGTCTGAAAGCGAAAGACAAATAGAAAACAAAAACAATGGGGCAGACAGAACTCTAGAATCTGATTGTAGATTTGAGGTTATGAATGGGAGTGAGGTGAGGGGTGGGGGAGACACAAGGGAAAGAGTCTCCTGATCTTCTGTGATGGGGGAACTACAGTTTCCTAGGTGATGGATATGATTGGTAACATACATCAGAAGATATGTGAACCTATACCTCTGAATTATATACAGTATTGTAAACCAGGGTTACCTTAGTTAAAATATATAAATAAATAGCTGGAAGCTCATCAAATGAAAAGCTTCTGTATAGTAAGAGACAGCAACCAAATGAAGAGAAACTTTAGATGGGAAAAAAATATTTGCACACCATACATTTATAAGGACTATTATCAAAGTAATTTTTTTTTTAGTAGAAAAGTTCATATTTATGATTATATGGAAAAATATAAGTAAAAATAGCCAGGGATATGGGGAAGGAAGACAGGGTGAAGCAACGTGAGAGTCTAGCCCCAGATACCAGCATACTTTATAGCTTGTGTAATTATGACAGTACAATATTTGTGTATGAGAAAAGAGACCAGTGGAAAAGAAAGAAGATAGAAATAACCTCCACCCATATATGGACATTTAGTTATAATGACATTTAAAAATAATGGAGCTAATGTGGATTTGTTTTAACACATCAAGCATTTGGGAAATGATAAAATTGGATTCATATATAAAAGAAAAACAAACTTTCTAATTAGATGTATTGAACACATAATCATTAAAAATATTTTCGAATTCAGCGTCTTTTACTGAAAAATAAAATCCAATGAAAACATTTATAAGTGCTTAGTTACTTTTTTTTTTTAAAGATTATTTATTTGGCCCTCCCTGGTGGTGCAACAGGTTAGGACGCAGCACTGCAAGCTAGTCGCAGCCACTTCAGTGCAAGTTCAATCCCAGGCCTGGAGATGATCCACGTGACGTGGCAAACCTCTCCTGACCCACCCACTGCGGAGGGGCAGGGGCTGTGAGAGGCTTCACCAGAGACAGAGTGGGAAGCAGAACAGGCAGATCGAGGAAGTGCGCTGCTGAGGGGAGCAGCGGGCAGGTCAGGAGAGGTCTGGAGAGGCCTGCCTCCTCATGTGGATCACCTCCAGGCCTGTTATCTAGGAAGCTGTGGCTTGTTTGCAGTGCTGTGCCCTAACCAGTTGCACCAACAGGGAGAGCCCTACTTAGTTAAAGTTACTTTTCACTTCATGTTTTATAATACATAGCCCCATGAGTATAAAATGTATTTGTCTTTTCCAACTAGTGTTAGCTAGTTTTAGCAAGTGAGTAAATGTGCATAACTTTTATACTAATTTTGCTATTTATGGATTATTGGTTCATCTTTTGAAGGTATGCCTATATTAACCCATAATTTAATTTAACTAATCAACTATTAGAAATTCTGCATGAGATAAAATGTCTTTATTTTTCTTTTGACCTGCCTTCCAACTTGAATCATAATTTTGACAGTCAGGATGCTTGTATATGCTTCACTTTTGCTACAGAGAACATATATATATATATATATATATGTAATTTCTAAATCTTAACTGCTTTGAGAATAATCTCCTCTTAACAATTATTCATTATATACTCTCTAGGGGGTAGATAAAAAATAAGCATTTAACCCAACATTTTTTTATGGCTACATCTGTTTTCTTCCTATGTCTTTTTTTTTTTTT